GTTCAGTTCCCTTTATTATAAATTATGATTAATCAATTCATGTATTGTTGCTTCAAATGCAAAAGATTGTATATCACACACAGATTCTACACAGCAATTTTATTAAAGTAAGGAAATTTTGAATTGACACGGCTGACATTATAATGTAAACCCAATACAACTTTTCCAAATTATGCAATTCACAGTGAGTAGATATCACAAAATAAATAAAATAATCATACTCTTTATTGATTACTGTATAGAATAAAATAACAACACCTTTCTTTGTAGTTCTTGCAATTGTTCTTTAATGTCCCCAATCTTATTAGCTTCTGGAAGAATCATCATCATCATCTTTCTTTTTCAGCTCTTTCATCATTTCTGCAGCTGTCAACTTCTCACTCTGCTCTTCCTCTTTACAAGCTACCATAGCTTCCTTTCATCTCTGGGCTGCATTTTGAATTGTATGGATCAACTGTTTTGATATATCCAATTTCCCCAATCCACCAGCTGACATGACTATATCATGTGAGCTACAATAATGTATCTTCTTTTTGGTTTTCTATTAAGCATTCTTTGTTAATAGTAAATCCATGTTCTGTATGAGCATTACCATGAAAAAAATGAAACATGTTAAGGTATGGAGTAGTGTTTAACTATATCACTGATTCCTGGGATAACAAAGTGTGTTTGTATTACTGAGCAATTTTACCAGCTTTAGAATCATTTATCTAGTTATTACCCACAAGAGTTTCTAATGTAATATTTAGTGGTTTTTTGTGCTTTTTATCCATTCCTTGCATAAGCTGGGTTTAGGCAAGACAGTCCTTGGTCGATTTGTATTTCAGCAACAACTTTTTCATCAGTTTGGTGGTTACAACATCTATTGATGAAATTTTGATAATGGGTAACACTCAAATGAGGTAAAATAAATTAACCATAGTGAAATCTGTTCAAATTAGTCAACAGGTTTAACATTCTATAACACTAGAAATGTTACTTATGTCTCTTAACACATTTTGCTTCTGAGCTCCTTGTTTATACTTCAAATCTAATGTGCACTTTGTTTCTCAACTTCTCAAACAGTTGAATGAGTGAAGCTTAAAACAGAATAAATACAATAACATCTTTCCAAAAGGGTCTTTTAGTCACATTTTGCAAAATTAGTGACTTTTAGTTGAAATAGTAACCAGTTCCAACCTTGCAAGCATTGCTGAAGTTTACACAGATTCTACATACCATTTACTCGGTAAGAGCTTTGAAACCACGTTGTAATCAGACCTCCTCTACAACCTTATTTTCAAATAAAACTGACTGCTAGCTAGAATTGTCAACTGCTTTTCAGTAAAACCCACAGATAACACTTTAAAATAAGCAATTTAAGAAAGAATTTATTCAACTAAATTTGTTCATAAAATAATTTAAAGACGCATAATTCAAATATTGTACTTTCTTGAAACATTGGAGTAAATATTAGTAATTATTATACTTAAATTTCATCAGCATGTATGATGTAAACTTAGATTGTCATTCATATCACGATACAGCAATGCACACTTTCAAACTGCTTCTGCTGTTCCATTTTCCATTATATGACACACTCTAAAATAATTTTATTTTTCCTTTTCCGGGTTTAATATCAAATTTCCTGTGATTTCCAAAGCTTTTCCCTTATCTGATAAATTCAAGTCTATTAAACATCTTTTATTGTGTATGAATTTTGACAATTTACTTTACAGATTTTACTTATTTGTTAATCATATGACAACAAATAATAGCTTTAACACACTTCACTTAAAATACCAGATCAGATAACTATGATAGCAGTTAGAGCTATGACTTTTAATGACTATATAAAAAAATCAGAATTTTATTCTATTTTATTAATTTATTTATTGTTGTTGAATTTGTTACAATTGTTGAATATTTACTTATAAAATAATTTATATAAACTTCTTTGTGTATCTTACCAATGCTAACTTCAAATTCAACTGGCGTATCAATGACGCTAACCATACTAGCATCAATAAAAGCTGCATGTAATCTATACTTCCTTCTCCTACAGTACGGCTATAAAAAAGGATTAAAACTATAAAAAAACAATTTATTCTATAAATATAAAATTTATTTCTATATTTACCATGACTTGTAGTAATTCGGTCTTTTCTACCGGAACAGATTTGACCTCGGAAAATGATCCCAAATTTGTTCGTAAAGAAAGAAGTGCCCTGCCTCTGTACGAGCAGCCTTCCCCTATACCTTTATTTAGGCCGTCACATCCATTATTGAGATCTGTGTATTCTCGGGGAGAGCCGTAAAAATTCACCCAGGAGGGTCCATAAGTCGGAAGATAACCTGATAAAGAAAAATGTGATCAAATTTTATGTTACAAATATAGAAATAGCCAATACATATGATTCTAAATAAAATATATGGTTGTTTCCATTTAAACATCTTGTTTGGTTTGCCTGTTTAAAGGTTTGTACCTATATTACTGGTGGTATACAATCTAACCTAATCATTTTCCCAAAATACAATTTCATGCTGTTTAGTCAAAGAAAAACAAAAGCATTTTCATGCAAAATATATATCTTGCATTAGGCTACTTGATTGATTATGTGTCAAAATATTCTGTCTATCATTATCTAAGGAGCAATTTATGATATAAGAAGCAGACGAGAGCACAGGTGGTCTGCATTTCACCTGTAATTCAGTTTATGAGGCTCATAGAGTAATAGCTTTAAGAACCACTAATCTGGAGTGACAAGGCAATGCCTTTATTGTCTCGGTCATCCATTTGATAATTTATAAGTGCATGTATTTCAATTATTGTTATGGTAAAAAGAAATGAATAAATTTAAAATATTTTAACATAGATAAATATACACAAACATTACCATATTCTCCTGGAGCAGATATGTGATTTATAGACATCAAATATGTAGCTATAATGTCGTCTTCTGTCAGCCGATCCCTGAAAGTAAGCATTACATTTCTCTGTTTGAAAAAACTCATTAATTAACACTAATAAAAGATTAAAAAATCCTTACCAATCGGTGAGTACAAGTTTTATCTTTTCACACATTGAGGGAAACTGCATAAAAATTATTAAAATCAAATAAGTAAGGAATTAAAGCAAATAATATTCTACAATATTAAAATTCTTTGGAATCTCGTACACTTGTACAGTGTACGAGATTCCTAACAAATACAGCAAACATGAAGGCAAATAGTATTCACAACATATAAAATTAAAATGATATTTATAATTCATAAGATTCTGTATCATTTCCAAACTGTATGTGCGCTGCTTTATTTTTCTATGAAAATCTTTACATTGCAGTTACCATTGAATTTCTCTAACTAAACAAATTCTAAGTCTGTATATCTGTACACAAGAATATAACTTACATGTGCTTTACTAAGTAACAAATCCATCCACATAACATGGAAAAATTCAAAGACCAATGAGTCAACAATTAAACATCTTACATAGAAAAGATCAAACTTGCTGTATATAAATTTCTTTTTCTCAAGCTAATTGAGGGCTTGTACTGTACATATTGTGGAGGAACACCTAGATAACTTACATACAGTTATATTTTATTTATTTTACAGATATTTTACACACGTGAAATTATAACATCGAAAAAATTTGATGGCAAATTCTTATTTGTGGGATTTCAATATAGCATTAAAACCTCGCAGATAAGACACTGCCATCAAATTTTAAAGTGACTTGGGGCCCGGTGTCTTAAAATCTGCTTACCTTTGTAAATATGAAATTAAATTCAAATAAGTATTATTTGAATTTAATTGAGTTGTGTTATTACATCAAGATAATAATAACCAGTACAGTTAGCTCTTGGCAACAGCTGCCAACCCAATGCCTTCAATAGGGCATTAGTAAAATTCTTATAAAAGATTTAATTTGCATAGATTTGAGCTTTTATTATTCTGGATAATGTTTTGAATAACAATCATTCCTTTCAATGCAATTTTATCCTCATAAACATAAAATTATGCCATAAAAGTAAAACAGCTCTACGGGGAACTCTGTGAACTTTGACCTATCAACCTGGAGGTGTCACAGAACCTCACTTATAATAAGAGAGGATTATGTTTAATATTTGAGCTTTTTAGACCCAGCAGTTTTTCTCTAGGAGCATCTGCAGTGCTGGATAAAAATTTTTAAAAAATACAACTTTTCTGGCAATTTTTGCACTGTTTGATTGCTTATATTTGGCAAACCCTTCATATAAAACTATGAAATTTTGCACATTGCCTAAGAAAACAATTATCTTTCATACAAGATATTCAGAATTACTTTAGGTGTTTGGAGGCAAAGAAACCAACCCTGAAAATTGGCAACTCTGATTCCTGTATATACAGTCAATCAGTGACAATTAAACTCTTAGATATCAACAATCACTGCCATGACTCTCAATATTTAAGAGTTTAATTCTCATTCTCATTTAAATCCCAATGTTGGTTCTACTTACACTAGTGATTGACAGATCCATCAATCATTCATACAACCAGACCAAACAAGTATTCAGATCTATCAGCAATTAGTGTTATTAATGAAAATTCCTTCTACAAAGTTTGACAGATAATTGAGATTCACTTCGTTTGACTGAATCTTCAAACTACTGTCAAATATTTATAGGAATTATTCATTTGGCTAAGTGAAAAAGTAGTGCAGATTTCTAGTTTTGTGATACGATAGCAAGAATTTTGCAATTTAAAAGTTATTCAATCAGTCTTTGATTGTAGGAATACCATAAAAAAGAAAATTAATTGAAATTGCTGGGCTAGCTTAATCAGAATAAATTTTTTAATATGTTTTGTTTACTACAATATGCCACGAGAGGGGCAATTCTGTTTCATATAAAGATTGTCATGTGGTTTATAAGCCTTTTCTGTGTTACTTATGGAGTGACTGGAGTGAATAAAGTTGTTTTAAAGCATTGTTCCTTTATCCACAAGGTCAAACAGATACATATTTTATCTATTCCTTGTTTCTCTTTGATTTCAATTATGGTTTCAATCACATCTACAACTGTCCATAAATTACATAACACAGAAATGGATGGGTATGTGAACAATTGTTACATGGGGATGTTTACAAAAAAGTATTATGTAATGCTACAATTGCTACTCTTGGGTGACAAAATGAAGCATTTTTGTTTCTGAGGTGTTGTGCAGTAAACTGTACTATTTACATTGCTGTTTTGTATATTATATATGTAATTAATAAATAAAATAAATTATGTATAAATTAATAGTACTAGATGATCGGATGGCAGTTTGGGTAGCATTACTGGCAATGCATATGCATTGTAAGCAGAAATTCAAGTACCACTCTGGGCCAAGAACAAGATTGCAGCTCAACCGCCTACCTCTGGACAAATTACTTTGTATGTAATTATGAACTTAGTCATATTATTGTCTACTAATTTTGCAGATGGTCTGGCTGTAATTAATAAAATAATGTAATGTTTGGTACCTTGTGCTGTGTGAGGGATGAATGGACCTTCAATAAAGTGTTATTTTAAACTTTAATCATTTTAAAATTCAATCTTCTAACTTCCATCATTCTATCAAAAGCTAGGTTAAAATCCATAAAAATTATTTCCCATGGACTTGGTTCCTTGTTGAGGATGATCCATCTAGTCATTAGTGCATCACTCAGAACTTTCAATAAATTACAAGTATTGGATGCCAGACCCTTAACAACAAACTCCTGACCTCATAAAAAAACCCAAGAGGAACCCAAATACCAAGGGAGGGTGATGACAAAGCAAGTCAGTCATCCTCCAATGTTCGCCTTCTCTAGAGTTTATAAAAGTGATCAAATACTGTGCATCCGTCGACATCACCATACGAATATCTTGCATGCCCGAGTTCTTTGATTTACTTGCCACAAGCACTCCCTCCAAAGACGTTCCTGTTATCCAAACAATCAAAATATCAAGAACCTTCCATCGAACACCCAAAGAATCCCATCGGTGAGTCATCAAAATCATCAATCCTCGACTTCTTTATAAGGTATTTATCCACACACGTATATCCTGTAAACTCTCTCTCTTGTAACAGTTATATTCGATAACCTAAGTAATATATATCAATCCAAGATGTCTGTGATCGTATATCTTGTACTCCTGCCCATTGAAATTAAATTGTTATTGTTTATTAATCTGGAATCCAAGTGAATCACTTCGTTTCTCTCTCCTCACCTCTACTCTGAATCCAACTGCTTACCCGCGACTGCTCGCATGACATAAGAACTCTTTGTTGCGATATCCGAGTCCTGAGAGACTCTGTGGTGTCGCATCCTGACACAGTGGTGTCAAAGAGACACTGACCCTTCAGTCCTGTGGTGCCGAAGCATACGGGGGCCCTTTGGCATTGTCACAGCTGTATATTACTCAATAGTACAATTGAGGAGGTGGTTGAGAATGTGTTAAATAATTTTAGAGGCATGTGTACATGACAGAGTTATGAAGTGTTATGGTGGGACAGTGCTTGAAAAGCATAAAAATAACATTACATAATTTATTTGGATCATCCCAGACTGCAATTACTAACTTCTGGAAAACTATCAATAAGATAATCTCATGCTTGACACTTTCCATACAATGCAACATGACATTCATTTTTCATTAAATAAATTTCTAATAAAATATTTTATGTGTACATATATGTAAATTCTAAAGTTCTGTAGTAATATATGAAGTGCTTTGTACAATAGAGGAGGACAAGAGTCAGATAATCAGTGCCCCATACTTACCATTGAGCTCTATAATATGGTCTTAGCTGAAACCATAATGAGAATGAAAAATGGACCTTTTAATTGTCCACAAGGTAGAAAAAATTTTAAAAAATAGAAAAGCATGACTTAACTATATAAGTCTCATTTATGCATTAACATGTACAAAGCTTCGTGGTTTTGAATGCAATTAACCATTGAAATATTGAAAGTAAAAATGAAGATAGATGCTTCAAGACTATTATTACCTAACTTAATTACACGACTAGAGTTAATTCTGTGCTTCTCTGCTGTCTTTCCTTAACTAAAATAATATAAAATTACGTACCTGAAAATCTAAAAAAATCCTTTCGTTCCATTCAGGATGATCTTTACCATGAATTATCGTAGACTGTACCTAAGGAAGAAATATTAATAATTTTCCTTGTCTGTATTATTTAGTTAAAATAAACTAATTTTGAATTTTGTAGCTAATTATTAATATTTTAAATGTTACAAACAAGTATATTTAGTATAAGACAAAGAAAAACAATATTTATCATGTGTAACAATTAATGTTTCTGTCATTTAAAGAATTTATGTCAATAAATCATAAACTGTTTATAATTTTGGAGTTTGAAGATTTCTCATTATTCATCTCAAAATTTCATGTTAAAATTACAATTGTGTAAAAGGAAAGATTCTAAACTTAAATGCAATACAAGGAGTCGGTAAATCAAACCCCCAACTCCGACTCATAGAATTTCAGATGGTCCAGCTCTGACCTCTAAATGATAATTTAAAGTATACTTGAATTGTATTAAACCAGAATGGCATTTCATCACTATCAAGTACATAATAAAAACACAGGAGTTGAGTTGGAGTCAATCCATTTTTATTAATCCTGACTCCTCTAGAAATAAATTTGCATCCAACTCCCGTTTGGACTCCACAGCACTGTACAAAATACTGAAAAAAGGTAATAATAAAAAGGTAAAGAGTCTTGTTAATGTTCATCATTAATGAAGGCATGTAGGAGAGGATCTATGGCTCTATTCATCGCATAACCAGAGAAGTGGATGAGTAGCCAATCTCATGTCAACATCAACTTTAACTCCTAGAAGTCATCTTTCAGACAGGAAGGGTAATTTAAGATCTGTAAGGTTCACCACAGGTAAAAACCTGTTGTGATTTCATCCAACTCATCTGCTGTGTAATCCAGTGCCATATACCCATAGAATACCATGAGCCCAATTAATAATAAATATGAATTTTAATTCTGAATTCTTGTCTTCTCTACTAGAATTTGAGACAGTTTATAATTAAATCAGTTAATATAAATATAAAGCATATAATAATAATATAAATCAGTTAATGTAAATATTAATTAATTATATTTACATAAGTTACTAAGTCAAATATTATAAATAAAGTATATTAACCAACCTTATGTCCAGCAAAAACTACAGCCAAATAAGGGTCAACTAAATCCTTCTTTCTTTCCACATGTAACATTTTCTTAACGCCATCAGTCATGCTGGAATCCACTAAAGACAAATTTTACGATTAACAACATTTAATGATACAATTTAATTAGTAAAAATTATGAGAGTTGACCTTACTTTGTGGTAGATCTATGGCTTGATATACATCTATTATAAAAGACGCTGGTTTCAACTGCACGCCGGATGCAAGCAATAAGTTGCTGCAAAAGTAAATTGCTACGGTTAATATAACAATGTTATTTCTTTATTTCCAATTTTGCATCACTAAACACAGAAGTTGTTACACTGGATTACATAAAATCATGTGCTGTTTACAGCTTTCATTATTTATGGCTGACTAATATCAAAGTATTTACAAACCATGCTTCTTATTATGTCATAAATAAGTTCTTAATATATTTAAAACATACAAAATATCATTGAAGAATAGCAAGATCCTAAACAAGACTAAAAGTTCTTTGTGTTGATACAACTGAGGAACTGAAACTACAGCAAAGAACTGTAAGTTATATGGCAATAACTTACAGTGTGGCAGCTGGCAACAAAATGCTGACCCAACTCAAGTGATGTCAAGCAAAGTCAATGTCTCTCTCTCATACCAACATGCTAGTGTAAGATGGGTGACATTTCCACTTTGCAACCTAGTATATTTGTTTTGTGTGTTTTGTATATTCTATGTAACCAGTAGATGCAGAATAATAGATATCTAGAATTTACTCAGAGAATGAAGTCTACCATTCCCGTCTGTTTTCTTATGACACGCATGAATGAGAACAGATTGATCAGCATGCATGGTTTATCTACAAAGAGACTTGCCATTGTAATACTTTGTGTCTATTTGTTTCATATATCTATCTCATTCCCTTGATCTTATTGAAATCTAATGGTTTATCCATCATCAAGCTACATTAATTTCCACTTTGGCCATGTATATAAAGGAATTGTCACAATTAATTTCACATGTTAATCAAATCCCACATTAAGTAAGGGATACATGTACAAGGGCTGTTAAAAAAAAGACCAAACTTTTGCTATGAAAACTATTACTTACATAAAATTTTATTAAGTCTCGTAGCCTTCAGAGCAGTCCCCTTTCCCTCCTTCCACCAATTCCAACTATTCTTACAAGATTAGAACATCAGTTGAAACATGTTTTCTAGAACGAAACACAGTCCTCATACTGCATTTTCCTTTATTTCCTTGAAAGAATGTTGTTTTCAAACTAGATAGGGGTTTGAAAGCAATATTATTTCAAGATTGTTTTCAACCTGGAAGACAAGAGTCTGCTGGGTCCAGAGAGTAAGGTTGATGAGGCACAAGTGTCTTGTTTCTTGTGATATAATTGCAAATCAGGAGTAATGCATGAGTCATAATGCAACACATGCACTTAAATGCCAAATTTTATACTTCTGTGTTATTCAAAAAGTTTGGTCTATTTTGAACAGCTGTTGTGCATCTCATTCTTTACTTTAAAAACATATGATTCACTTACCTTTCCACATCATCGTCTTCTTTATGCTCAGGAGTTGCTAAATTCTTATTTGAATAAAATAACAAATATTTAAAATTAAGTTTAAAAATCTTTATTGTAATATACTGTACTTACGGGGCACTCATCACCCGGTCCCAAGACCACTGCAGAAAATTTTAAATAACCCATTGCTCTTGATACCGTGTCGTCTGTACTGCCCAACAGCAGCCATTTATTTAAAAATACATGTTCAGGTTGTTCATATATAATCCCTAAATCTAGCTAAAATATCAGAATATTTAACATGTGAGTGAAAAGCAAAATATTATTTTAAATAATAATAAATTTTGTCACCCAAACCTTAAAGGATCCTAAGAGAGTATTTGAACGGAAGGCTCTAGCATTGTTTACCTATAATAATATTTATGAATATCTTTTATTTAAATGCAAGTTTTAAATTTTTAAACATTTTTTGAATATGAGAACTTGCATGAAAGTCAATTGTTTCGCTGTAGAGGTCGGCAGGACTTGTTTCGAGGTGAAAAAAGAATATTTCGTCCCACCATGGATTCACCGAAGATTTGACGACTCGAGTCTGTTTGGAAACTCCATGCAACGATACTTTACAGACCGGATTAATGTTAGCTCCGGATAACTGTCTTCCTTCGATAATTTTGACTCTAACCTAAAAAGATAGACAGAATATTGAGCAAATTATAAGTTTACTTGTAGCAAGTAAAGTGAGGAGTTTTGTGTTGTCACGAGCCTGTATCACCTGATTTGTCACACATCTCTGTTTCCGAGTGCAGTGTTAACTCACTATTATTATTTAAAAATCAGTTTTACAATAATCGAAAATGCCTAACTATATTGCCGACACTTCAATATATTGTTCTCAATGCAACATATGAACTAAGAACTTTCAGAGCTACACTCCATCCTCAAGACTATAGTTTTTAAACTTCCATCTTCAGGGTTTTTCTATAGTCCATAGCACCTACCACTATTTTTACAATGAGGGGTTATTATTAAACAATACAATTACTGTTTAATAATTGCAAAATAACATATGATTTTTAATTAATTCTTTTGAAGACAAAGTCCTTTCCAAAAAATAGGAACCACCATTTATTAACTTTGTGTTCCAGACATTACACTTTTGGCAACTGACCTTTTCTTTTAGGCTACTGGCCGCCAAACAGTCCTTTAAAAAACACAAAAATATCCAATTAAAAATATAAACATTTTTAAAAAACAGGAACTGGTGATGTTCGGACATCATCTACTTTCCATCATACCTTGCTGGGGTTGTTTCGGCTTTTATCTACAACAAAATAAGCGCTGGTAAAATGTAGATGAGGAAAACTGGCCCCTGGTGACTATACTTTAAAATCTTTTTTGTAAATTTTCGTCCGATGGAGATAATTATGATTAATTTTTTTAAAGGACTGTTTGGCGGCCAGTAGCCTAAATGAAAAGGTCAGTTGCCAAAAGTGTAATGTCTGGAACACAAAGTTAATAAAGGGTGGTTCCTATTTTTTGGAAAGGATGTTGTTTTGAAAAGAATTAATCATAATTATCTCCAGCAGAAAAAAATTTACAAAAGAAAAAATATGATTTTTAATTAACTATCTCTGAAAGTTGGTAACACAGTAGTTGCAGTGTATAGGATTCATAATAAATTAATTTTTATTTTGGTGATAAGTGAGCACAGTCACTCTTTGTCTAGATCAGTGTTTCTCAACCTCTAACGAATCGCCGCCCCCTTCAATAAAACCGTTACGTAGTATCACCCCCTTCACTTCGAAATTCCGATGTCAAGGGCCAAGGCTAACACCAAATTCTTACTGCATTGAATAGACTAATGACTAGTATAATGTTATTTGTTTAATTATTGTACGATATAAAATATCTAATTATTCTTAATATAATGTTTTACTATATTGCCCAGAAAATTGTTTTTTGCCCCCCAAAATATAAATTGTTACTAATCGCCCCCTCAACATGGAAAAATGCCCACATGGGGCGATATCACCCCCGTTGAGAAACACTGGTCTAGATTCATTAAAGTGAGACAGAAAATTAAGTGAGGTGTGCAAATTAGCCACTGCTCAGTCCAAGGTTACTTGACATTGTCAAAAAATAAACAAAACCTTGGAACCTCATTTAATCATCGAATATAAAGCTCATAAAACTGTTATATTTTCTTTTAAATATTTCTTGGTATGATCATCTGGAAAAATTTTAATTCATCTGATCAATTACAACTTTTTAAATTTCAATTTAACACTCCTAAAGTGGCTACAATGCAACAAAGACTCACAATCTCATCTACAAGGCATTTGATAAAGATAATCAACAGATAGATCCATTACAATTGGTTTAAGAAATTCAAGCATGATGATTTCTTGCTTCAAGAAGAACTCCATCCAGAAAGTGATTCCACCATTGATGATAATTCCTGCAACTGTTAGACAATAATCCACAGTTGATCAGAGAATTAGCACAACTTGAGTGTTCCAAAATCAAAGAACTTTGTCTAAGAATTGACAAAGTCTGATACCATCACAACAATATGCCAGTACATAGAGCAAAGATGACCTTACAGAAGTTGACCAATCTGGGCTGGGAGGTTCTGCCTCATCTACCTTACAGGCCAGATTTGGAGCCAACTGATTGCCGTCTATTTCATGCTCTGCATAGCTATACAGTAGACCCCCCTATAACACTGTTGATAATTCCATGTTGTATGAGTCACTTAGATTTTACAAATACGTGTGCAAGACTGTGAACAGCTCACAGCTAAGTGACTCGTACTACACAGAATTATCAACAGTGTTATAGGGGGACTACTGTATTGCCAAAATACAGTTCAACAACAATATCTAGTGTTTCAGACTTTCTTCAAAGAAAAATTCCAGTTGTTCTGTGCTCATGAGATTAGAACTTTTTAGCAAAGGTAGCAAGATGTGATTGATATTGTGAGTCACGGAAAGTCCGAATCCCTCATTAAATGTACAAAAAATTCACTGCATTTAAAGAAAATATTTTGTTAATGTAAAAAATGTGTAAAATAGATCTGTCGTGAAGATGTAAAATAAACAAAGTATGGTCGACCCTGTGAGGTCACGGGTTGATGCAAACTAATGTGTTGAAACATTCAGAATGTCAAAAGTGAAGATCAAGCTTAGACTCTAATGTTCATAGGGAAGATAAAATTGAATAAACAAGGAAATCTAGCATTTCTTTGAAAGAAAAACCATTACATCGTAGTTAATAAAGAAAAAAAAAAAAAAAATTCTTAAGTGTCAGAAAAGAAATCATCATCAAAATAAATCAAATCAACACTTTTGGATGAAGTCGAATAACGATGTTGAATGGATTAATGAAGAGCAGTGTTTCCTATGCCTAATCTGGTTAACTTATTTCATCTGGAAACAAGAAGGGGACTAAGAGAGAAAATCAAGAATTTTGGAGACAGATCCTTTAAAAATCCCAAAATTCAAGGACAAAGGGAGTTGCTTCTCCTTAGCTCAACCCATGTGTCCTCTGCATCAATGTCCCTTTTGTCTTCAACTTCACCTTCATTCTGCGACCACTATGCCTGATTTCCAACTAGTCTGCCCTAGGCTGTCTGATCACTGTTGAAATTCCATCAAATTGCTGTTGGATAACCAACGATGGTGGATTACAAACTGAACTTTCCACATTTTATTTTCCATCTTCAAGATGTTCTTGACCAAAATTGTGTAAGCACCACGTATTTTTTAAATGGAATAAATCACCAAACGATCGCCTAAATATTGGGTTATAATATGGCTAATTAAATGATTGGTATAAAGTAATTTGTCGTNAGTAAGGAAATTCGAATTGACACGCCAACATTATAATGTAAACCCAATACAACTTTTCCAAAATGTGCAATTCACAGTGAGTAGATATCACAAAATAAATAAAATAATCATACTCTTTATTGATTATAGAATAAAATAACAACACCTTTCTTTGTAGTTCTTGCAACTGTTCTTTAATGTCCTCAATCTTATTACCTTCTGGAAGAATCATCATCATCTTTCTTTGTCAGCTCTTTCATCATTTCTGCAGCTGTCAACTTCTCACTCTGCTCTTTCTCTTGCCCTATTTCTTCCTGTTTACAAACTATCATAGCTTCCTTTCATCTTTGGGCTGCATTTTGAATTGTATGGATCAACTGTTTTGATATATCCAATTTCCCCAATCCACCAGCTGACATGACTATATCGTGTGAGCTACAATAATGTCTCTTCTTTTTGGTTTTCTATTAAGCATTCTTTGTTAATAGTAAATCCATGTTCTGTATGAGCATTACCATGAAAAAAATGAAACATGTTAAGGTATGGAGTAGTGTTTAACTATATCACTGATTCCTGGGATAACAAAGTGTGTTTGTATTACTGAGCAATTTTACCAGCTTTAGAATCATTTATCTAGTTATTACCCACAAGAGTTTCTAATGTAATATTTAGTAGTTTTTTGTGCTTTCTATCCATTCCTTGCATAAGCTGGGTTTAGGCAAGACAGTCCTTGGTCGATTTGTATTTCAGCAACAACTTTTTCATCAGTTTGGTGGTTACAACATCTATTGATGAAATTTTGATAATGGGTAACACTCAAATGAGGTAAAATAAATTAACCATAGTGAAATCTGTTCAAATTAGTCAACAGGTTTAACATTCTATAACACTAGAAATGTTACTTATGTCTCTTAACACATTTTGCTTCTGAGCTCCTTGTTTATACTTCAAATCTAATGTGCACTTTGTTTCTCAACTTCTCAAACAGTTGAATGAGTGAAGCTTAAAACAGAATAAATACAATAACATCTTTCCAAAAGGGTCTTTTAGTCACATTTTGCAAAAATAGTGACTTTTAGTTGAAATAGTAACCAGTTCCAACCTTGCAAGCATTGCTGAAGTTTACACAGATTCTACATACCATTTACTCAGTAAGAGCTTTGAAACCACGTTGTAATCAGACCTCCTCTACAACCTTATTTTCAAATAAAACTGACTGCTAGCTAGAATTGTCAACTGCTTTTCAGTAAAACCCACAGATGACACTTTAAAATAAGTGATTTAAGAATGAATTTATTCAACTATATTTGTTCATAAAACAATTTAAAGATGCATAATTCAAATATTGTACTTTCTTGAAACATTGGAGTAAATATTAGTAATTATTATACTTAAATTTCTTCAGCATGTATGATATAAACTTAGATTGTCATTCATATCACGATACAGCAATGCACACTTTCAAACTGCTTCTGCTGTTCCATTTTCCATTATATGACACACTCTAAAATAATTTTATTTTTCCTTTTCCGGGTTTAATATCAAATTTCCTGTGATTTCCAAAACTTTTCCCTGATCTGATAAATTCCTGGAGATTTCCAGTCCATTAAACACCCTTTTATTGTGTATGAATTTTGACAATTTACTTTACAGATTTTACTTATTTGTTAATCATATGACAACAAATAATAGCTTTAACACACTTCACTTAAAATACCAACTATGATAGCAGTTAGAGTTATGACTTTTAATGACTATATCAAAAGATCAAGATTTTATTCTATTTTATTAATTTATTTTTTGTTGTTGAATTTGTTACAATTGTTGAATATTTACTTATAAAATAATTTATATAAACTTCTTTGTGTATCTTACCAATGCTAACTTCAAATTCAACTGGCGTATCAATGACGCTAACCATACTAGCATCAATAAAAGCTGCATGTAATCTATACTTCCTTCTCCTACAGTACGGCTATAAAAAAGAATTAAAACTATAAAAAACAATTTATTCTATATATGTAAAATTTATTTCTATATTTACCATGACTTGTAGTAATTCGGTCTTTTCTACCGGAACAGATTTGACCTCGGAAAATGATCCCAAATTTGTTCGTAAAGAAAGAAGTGCCCTGCCTCTGTACGAGCAGCCTTCCCCTATACCTTTATTTAGACCGTCACATCCATTATTGAGATCTGTGTATTCTCGGGGAGAGCCGTAAAAATTCACCCAGGAGGGTCCATAAGTCGGAAGATAACCTGATAAAGAAAAATGTGATCAAATTTTATGTTACAAATATAGAAATAGCCAATACATATGATTCTAAATAAAATATATGGTTGTTTCCATTTAAACATCTTGTTTGGTTTGCCTGTTTAAAGGTTTGTACCTATATTACTGGTGGTATACAATCTAACCTAATCATTTTCCCAAAATACAATTTCATGCTGTTTAGTCAAAGAAAAACAAAAGCATTTTCATGCAAAATATATCTCTTGCATTAGGCTACTTGATTGATTATGTGTCAAAATATTCTGTCTATCATTATCTAAGGAGCAATTTATGATATAAGAAGCAGACGAGAGCACAGGTGGTCTGCATTTCACCTATAATTCAGTTTATGAGGCTCATAGAGTAATAGCTTTAAGAACCACTAATCTGGAGTGACAAGGCAATGCCTTTATTGTCTCGGTCATCCATTTGATAATTTATAAGTGCATGTATTTCATTTATTGTTATGGTAAAAAGAAATGAATAAATTTAAAATATTTTAACATAGATAAATATACACAAACATTACCATATTCTCCTGGAGCAGATATGTGATTTATAGACATCAAATATGTAGCTATAATGTCGTCTTCTGTCAGCCGATCCCTGAAAGTAAGCATTACATTTCTCTGTTTGAAAAAACTCATTAATTAACACTAATAAAAGATTAAAAAATCCTTACCAATCGGTGAGTACAAGTTTTATCTTTTCACACATTGAGGGAAACTGCATAAAAATTATTAAAATCAAATAAGTAAGGAATTAAAGCAAATAATATTCTACAATATTAAAATTCTTTGGAATCTCGTACACTTGTACAGTGTACGAGATTCCTAACAAATACAGCAAACATGAAGGCAAATAGTATTCACAACATATAAAATTAAAATGATATTTATAATTCATAAGATTCTGTATCATTTCCAAACTGTATGTGCGCTGCTTTATTTTTCTATGAAAATCTTTACATTGCAGTTACCATTGAATTTCTCTAACTAAACAAATTCTAAGTCTGTATATCTGTACACAAGAATATAACTTACATGTGCTTTACTAAGTAACAAATCCATCCACATAACATGGAAAAATTCAAAGACCAATGAGTCAACAATTAAACATCTTACATAGAAAAGATCAAACTTGCTGTATATAAATTTCTTTTTCTCAAGCTAATTGAGGGCTTGTACTGTACATATTGTGGAGGAACACCTAGATAACTTACATACAGTTATATTTTATTTATTTTACAGATATTTTACACACGTGAAATTATAACATCGAAAAAATTTGATGGCAAATTCTTATTTGTGGGATTTCAATATAGCATTAAAACCTCGCAGATAAGACACTGCCATCAAATTTTAAAGTGACTTGGGGCCCGGTGTCTTAAAATCTGCTTACCTTTGTAAATATGAAATTAAATTCAAATAAGTATTATTTGAATTTAATTGAGTTGTGTTATTACATCAAGATAATAATAACCAGTACAGTTAGCTCTTGGCAACAGCTGCCAACCCAATGCCTTCAATAGGGCATTAGTAAAATTCTTATAAAAGATTTAATTTGCATAGATTTGAGCTTTTATTATTCTGGATAATGTTTTGAATAACAATCATTCCTTTCAATGCAATTTTATCCTCATAAACATAAAATTATGCCATAAAAGTAAAACAGCTCTACGGGGAACTCTGTGAACTTTGACCTATCAACCCGGAGGTGTCACAGAACCTCACTTATAATAAGAGAGGATTATGTTTAATATTTGAGCTTTTTAGACCCAGCAGTTTTTCTCTAGGAGCATCTGCAGTGCTGGATAAAAATTTTTAAAAAATACAACTTTTCTGGCAATTTTTGCACTGTTTGATTGCTTATATTTGGCAAACCCTTCATATAAAACTATGAAATTTTGCACATTGCCTAAGAAAACAATTATCTTTCATACAAGATATTCAGAATTACTTTAGGTGTTTGGAGGCAAAGAAACCAACCCTGAAAATTGGCAACTCTGATTCCTGTATATACAGTCAATCAGTGACAATTAAACTCTTAGATATCAACAATCACTGCCATGACTCTCAATATTTAAGAGTTTAATTCTCATTCTCATTTAAATCCCAATGTTGGTTCTACTTACACTAGTGATTGACAGATCCATCAATCATTCATACAACCAGACCAAACAAGTATTCAGATCTATCAGCAATTAGTGTTATTAATGAAAATTCCTTCTACAAAGTTTGACAGATAATTGAGATTCACTTCGTTTGACTGAATCTTCAAACTACTGTCAAATATTTATAGGAATTATTCATTTGGCTAAGTGAAAAAGTAGTGCAGATTTCTAGTTTTGTGATACGATAGCAAGAATTTTGCAATTTAAAAGTTATTCAATCAGTCTTTGATTGTAGGAATACCATAAAAAAGAAAATTAATTGAAATTGCTGGGCTAGCTTAATCAGAATAAATTTTTTAATATGTTTTGTTTACTACAATATGCCACGAGAGGGGCAATTCTGTTTCATATAAAGATTGTCATGTGGTTTATAAGCCTTTTCTGTGTTACTTATGGAGTGACTGGAGTGAATAAAGTTGTTTTAAAGCATTGTTCCTTTATCCACAAGGTCAAACAGATACATATTTTATCTATTCCTTGTTTCTCTTTGATTTCAATTATGGTTTCAATCACATCTACAACTGTCCATAAATTACATAACACAGAAATGGATGGGTATGTGAACAATTGTTACATGGGGATGTTTACAAAAAAGTATTATGTAATGCTACAATTGCTACTCTTGGGTGACAAAATGAAGCATTTTTGTTTCTGAGGTGTTGTGCAGTAAACTGTACTATTTACATTGCTGTTTTGTATATTATATATGTAATTAATAAATAAAATAAATTATGTATAAATTAATAGTACTAGATGATCGGATGGCAGTTTGGGTAGCATTACTGGCAATGCATATGCATTGTAAGCAGAAATTCAAGTACCACTCTGGGCCAAGAACAAGATTGCAGCTCAACCGCCTACCTCTGGACAAATTACTTTGTATGTAATTATGAACTTAGTCATATTATTGTCTACTAATTTTGCAGATGGTCTGGCTGTAATTAATAAAATAATGTAATGTTTGGTACCTTGTGCTGTGTGAGGGATGAATGGACCTTCAATAAAGTGTTATTTTAAACTTTAATCATTTTAAAATTCAATCTTCTAACTTCCATCATTCTATCAAAAGCTAGGTTAAAATCCATAAAAATTATTTCCCATGGACTTGGTTCCTTGTTGAGGATGATCCATCTAGTCATTAGTGCATCACTCAGAACTTTCAATAAATTACAAGTATTGGATGCCAGACCCTTAACAACAAACTCCTGACCTCATAAAAAAACCCAAGAGGAACCCAAATACCAAGGGAGGGTGATGACAAAGCAAGTCAGTCATCCTCCAATGTTCGCCTTCTCTAGAGTTTATAAAAGTGATCAAATACTGTGCATCCGTCGACATCACCATACGAATATCTTGCATGCCCGAGTTCTTTGATTTACTTGCCACAAGCACTCCCTCCAAAGACGTTCCTGTTATCCAAACAATCAAAATATCAAGAACCTTCCATCGAACACCCAAAGAATCCCATCGGTGAGTCATCAAAATCATCAATCCTCGACTTCTTTATAAGGTATTTATCCACACACGTATATCCTGTAAACTCTCTCTCTTGTAACAGTTATATTCGATAACCTAAGTAATATATATCAATCCAAGATGTCTGTGATCGTATATCTTGTACTCCTGCCCATTGAAATTAAATTGTTATTGTTTATTAATCTGGAATCCAAGTGAATCACTTCGTTTCTCTCTCCTCACCTCTACTCTGAATCCAACTGCTTACCCGCGACTGCTCGCATGACATAAGAACTCTTTGTTGCGATATCCGAGTCCTGAGAGACTCTGTGGTGTCGCATCCTGACACAGTGGTGTCAAAGAGACACTGACCCTTCAGTCCTGTGGTGCCGAAGCATACGGGGGCCCTTTGGCATTGTCACAGCTGTATATTACTCAATAGTACAATTGAGGAGGTGGTTGAGAATGTGTTAAATAATTTTAGAGGCATGTGTACATGACAGAGTTATGAAGTGTTATGGTGGGACAGTGCTTGAAAAGCATAAAAATAACATTACATAATTTATTTGGATCATCCCAGACTGCAATTACTAACTTCTGGAAAACTATCAATAAGATAATCTCATGCTTGACACTTTCCATACAATGCAACATGACATTCATTTTTCATTAAATAAATTTCTAATAAAATATTTTATGTGTACATATATGTAAATTCTAAAGTTCTGTAGTAATATATGAAGTGCTTTGTACAATAGAGGAGGACAAGAGTCAGATAATCAGTGCCCCATACTTACCATTGAGCTCTATAATATGGTCTTAGCTGAAACCATAATGAGAATGAAAAATGGACCTTTTAATTGTCCACAAGGTAGAAAAAATTTTAAAAAATAGAAAAGCATGACTTAACTATATAAGTCTCATTTATGCATTAACATGTACAAAGCTTCGTGGTTTTGAATGCAATTAACCATTGAAATATTGAAAGTAAAAATGAAGATAGATGCTTCAAGACTATTATTACCTAACTTAATTACACGACTAGAGTTAATTCTGTGCTTCTCTGCTGTCTTTCCTTAACTAAAATAATATAAAATTACGTACCTGAAAATCTAAAAAAATCCTTTCGTTCCATTCAGGATGATCTTTACCATGAATTATCGTAGACTGTACCTAAGGAAGAAATATTAATAATTTTCCTTGTCTGTATTATTTAGTTAAAATAAACTAATTTTGAATTTTGTAGCTAATTATTAATATTTTAAATGTTACAAACAAGTATATTTAGTATAAGACAAAGAAAAACAATATTTATCATGTGTAACAATTAATGTTTCTGTCATTTAAAGAATTTATGTCAATAAATCATAAACTGTTTATAATTTTGGAGTTTGAAGATTTCTCATTATTCATCTCAAAATTTCATGTTAAAATTACAATTGTGTAAAAGGAAAGATTCTAAACTTAAATGCAATACAAGGAGTCGGTAAATCAAACCCCCAACTCCGACTCATAGAATTTCAGATGGTCCAGCTCTGACCTCTAAATGATAATTTAAAGTATACTTGAATTGTATTAAACCAGAATGGCATTTCATCACTATCAAGTACATAATAAAAACACAGGAGTTGAGTTGGAGTCAATCCATTTTTATTAATCCTGACTCCTCTAGAAATAAATTTGCATCCAACTCCCGTTTGGACTCCACAGCACTGTACAAAATACTGAAAAAAGGTAATAATAAAAAGGTAAAGAGTCTTGTTAATGTTCATCATTAATGAAGGCATGTAGGAGAGGATCTATGGCTCTATTCATCGCATAACCAGAGAAGTGGATGAGTAGCCAATCTCATGTCAACATCAACTTTAACTCCTAGAAGTCATCTTTCAGACAGGAAGGGTAATTTAAGATCTGTAAGGTTCACCACAGGTAAAAACCTGTTGTGATTTCATCCAACTCATCTGCTGTGTAATCCAGTGCCATATACCCATAGAATACCATGAGCCCAATTAATAATAAATATGAATTTTAATTCTGAATTCTTGTCTTCTCTACTAGAATTTGAGACAGTTTATAATTAAATCAGTTAATATAAATATAAAGCATATAATAATAATATAAATCAGTTAATGTAAATATTAATTAATTATATTTACATAAGTTACTAAGTCAAATATTATAAATAAAGTATATTAACCAACCTTATGTCCAGCAAAAACTACAGCCAAATAAGGGTCAACTAAATCCTTCTTTCTTTCCACATGTAACATTTTCTTAACGCCATCAGTCATGCTGGAATCCACTAAAGACAAATTTTACGATTAACAACATTTAACGATACAATTTAATTAGTAAAAATTATGAGAGTTGACCTTACTTTGTGGTAGATCTATGGCTTGATATACATCTATTATAAAAGACGCTGGTTTCAACTGCACGCCGGATGCAAGCAATAAGTTGCTGCAAAAGTAAATTGCTACGGTTAATATAACAATGTTATTTCTTTATTTCCAATTTTGCATCACTAAACACAGAAGTTGTTACACTGGATTACATAAAATCATGTGCTGTTTACAGCTTTCATTATTTATGGCTGACTAATATCAAAGTATTTACAAACCATGCTTCTTATTATGTCATAAATAAGTTCTTAATATATTTAAAACATACAAAATATCATTGAAGAATAGCAAGATCCTAAACAAGACTAAAAGTTCTTTGTGTTGATACAACTGAGGAACTGAAACTACAGCAAAGAACTGTAAGTTATATGGCAATAACTTACAGTGTGGCAGCTGGCAACAAAATGCTGACCCAACTCAAGTGATGTCAAGCAAAGTCAATGTCTCTCTCTCATACCAACATGCTAGTGTAAGATGGGTGACATTTCCACTTTGCAACCTAGTATATTTGTTTTGTGTGTTTTGTATATTCTATGTAACCAGTAGATGCAGAATAATAGATATCTAGAATTTACTCAGAGAATGAAGTCTACCATTCCCGTCTGTTTTCTTATGACACGCATGAATGAGAACAGATTGATCAGCATGCATGGTTTATCTACAAAGAGACTTGCCATTGTAATACTTTGTGTCTATTTGTTTCATATATCTATCTCATTCCCTTGATCTTATTGAAATCTAATGGTTTATCCATCATCAAGCTACATTAATTTCCACTTTGGCCATGTATATAAAGGAATTGTCACAATTAATTTCACATGTTAATCAAATCCCACATTAAGTAAGGGATACATGTACAAGGGCTGTTAAAAAAAAGACCAAACTTTTGCTATGAAAACTATTACTTACATAAAATTTTATTAAGTCTCGTAGCCTTCAGAGCAGTCCCCTTTCCCTCCTTCCACCAATTCCAACTATTCTTACAAGATTAGAACATCAGTTGAAACATGTTTTCTAGAACGAAACACAGTCCTCATACTGCATTTTCCTTTATTTCCTTGAAAGAATGTTGTTTTCAAACTAGATAGGGGTTTGAAAGCAATATTATTTCAAGATTGTTTTCAACCTGGAAGACAAGAGTCTGCTGGGTCCAGAGAGTAAGGTTGATGAGGCACAAGTGTCTTGTTTCTTGTGATATAATTGCAAATCAGGAGTAATGCATGAGTCATAATGCAACACATGCACTTAAATGCCAAATTTTATACTTCTGTGTTATTCAAAAAGTTTGGTCTATTTTGAACAGCTGTTGTGCATCTCATTCTTTACTTTAAAAACATATGATTCACTTACCTTTCCACATCATCGTCTTCTTTATGCTCAGGAGTTGCTAAATTCTTATTTGAATAAAATAACAAATATTTAAAATTAAGTTTAAAAATCTTTATTGTAATATACTGTACTTACGGGGCACTCATCACCCGGTCCCAAGACCACTGCAGAAAATTTTAAATAACCCATTGCTCTTGATACCGTGTCGTCTGTACTGCCCAACAGCAGCCATTTATTTAAAAATACATGTTCAGGTTGTTCATATATAATCCCTAAATCTAGCTAAAATATCAGAATATTTAACATGTGAGTGAAAAGCAAAATATTATTTTAAATAATAATAAATTTTGTCACCCAAACCTTAAAGGATCCTAAGAGAGTATTTGAACGGAAGGCTCTAGCATTGTTTACCTATAATAATATTTATGAATATCTTTTATTTAAATGCAAGTTTTAAATTTTTAAACATTTTTTGAATATGAGAACTTGCATGAAAGTCAATTGTTTCGCTGTAGAGGTCGGCAGGACTTGTTTCGAGGTGAAAAAAGAATATTTCGTCCCACCATGGATTCACCGAAGATTTGACGACTCGAGTCTGTTTGGAAACTCCATGCAACGATACTTTACAGACCGGATTAATGTTAGCTCCGGATAACTGTCTTCCTTCGATAATTTTGACTCTAACCTAAAAAGATAGACAGAATATTGAGCAAATTATAAGTTTACTTGTAGCAAGTAAAGTGAGGAGTTTTGTGTTGTCACGAGCCTGTATCACCTGATTTGTCACACATCTCTGTTTCCGAGTGCAGTGTTAACTCACTATTATTATTTAAAAATCAGTTTTACAATAATCGAAAATGCCTAACTATATTGCCGACACTTCAATATATTGTTCTCAATGCAACATATGAACTAAGAACTTTCAGAGCTACACTCCATCCTCAAGACTATAGTTTTTAAACTTCCATCTTCAGGGTTTTTCTATAGTCCATAGCACCTACCACTATTTTTACAATGAGGGGTTATTATTAAACAATACAATTACTGTTTAATAATTGCAAAATAACATATGATTTTTAATTAATTCTTTTGAAGACAAAGTCCTTTCCAAAAAATAGGAACCACCATTTATTAACTTTGTGTTCCAGACATTACACTTTTGGCAACTGACCTTTTCTTTTAGGCTACTGGCTGCCAAACAGTCCTTTAAAAAACACAAAAATATCCAATTAAAAATATAAACATTTTTAAAAACAGGAACTGGTGATATTCGGACACTATTAATATTC